CCAAGGTGTCATCTCAATCACTCTTACAATGGACCAATTTCTCGAGCGATTCCCTGAGGTTGGCCCGGATGCACCCGGCGCAGGATTCCAGAAAGGAATCCTCACTGCCATGATCGAGCTCGGAGCCTTTATCGGAGCAATGAATCAGGGATGGATTGCCGACAAGATCTCTCGCAAGTGGTCTATCATGGTTGCAGTGATAATCTTCCTCTTTGGCTCCGCCCTGCAGACAGGAGCTATGAGCTTCTCAATGCTTGTAGGTGCCCGGTTTGTTGGAGGTATCGGTGTCGGCATGCTGGCCATGGTGGCACCACTTTACATTTCTGAAATCGCGCCCCCGGAGATTCGTGGTACTTTGCTTGTTCTACAGGAGCTTTCTATTGTTACTGCTATTGTGGTTGCTTTCTACATCACCTATGGTACACGATATATTCCGAGTGAATGGTCGTGGCGCCTTCCTTTCCTCGTTCAGGTATGCCTTCCCTGTTAATCACAATTTTCCCTTTCCTAACAATCGATAGATGATTCCTGCCGTATTCCTCGCCGTCGGTATTCCATTCCTACCATATTCACCTCGTTGGCTCGCTGGCCGAGGCCGAGATGAAGAAGCACTCGAGTCTCTCTGCAAGTTGCGCGGTGTCGACCCTACTGACGAGCGCGTCATCCGAGAGTGGGTTGAGATTCGCGCCGAAGTGGCTTACTGCAAAGAATTGAGCGTCGTGAGACACCCAAAGTGCCAGGATGGAAGTTACGGCAGCCGTGCTATGCTTCATGTCTGGAGCTATCTGGACTGTTTCCGCAAAGGGTGTTGGAAGCGTACGCATGTCGGTATTGGACTGATGTTTTTCCAACGTGAGTATTTGTCTGCCGTGGTATAGCCACCACTTCCTCTCCTTTTCCTCCTTACAGAGGCTAACCCATATCCTTCTCGCAGAATTCGGTGGTGTCAACGCTCTCATCTACTACTCGCCCAGTCTATTCGCCGGAATGGGTCTAGACTACGAAATGCAACTCCACATGTCCGGCGTCATCAACATCTGCCAAATGCTAGCCTGTTTCTGGTCACTATGGGGAATGGACAGATTTGGCCGGAGGCCTTTGCTCTTTGGCGGTGCTGCCTGCATGGTTCTTGCGCATTTCATAATCGCTGTCTTGATGAGCCAATTCCAATCGGACTGGCCTGATCATTCCGCAGAGGGCTGGGTTTGCGTCGCTTTCTTGTGCTTCTTCATGCTTACCTATGGCGCTACCTGGGGTCCTATCCCTTGGGCTATGCCGGCTGAGATCTTCCCCTCTTCGCTACGTGCTAAGGGTATGGCATACTCCACAATGTCGAACTGGCTTAACAACTTCATCATTGGGCTTATCACTCCGCCGCTTGTGCAAAACACTGGGTATGGAACTTATGCGTTCTTCTGTGTGTTTTGCACCCTGTCGTTTGTTTGGACGTGGTTCTTCGTTCCGGAGACCAACGGGAAAACTTTGGAGGAAATGGACTCAGTCTTTGGGGATAACACTTCGACTGAGGAGATAGCACAGCGTGCGAGGATTGAGGCTACAATCTGGGCCCATGCTGCCGCACGGTCTGATGGGCTCGAAGGTACCCAGCAAATTACTTAGATGGCTGACTTTGCTTCCATGTTTCTCGAAGCAGTGGGTGTCTGATTTATTTCTGATTTATTTGTGCTGCTTATATAGGTATCTATGAGGGCTTGCTCTCATGTTATAATCTTCTTTGTCCACTGTAGATTATGAAGCTCCTTTTTTCTTCCGATTTTCTAGAGTATCCTCGCTAAATTTCCCAAAGAACCGGAGACAGGCCAACGACCGAAATGCACGATGATCTCTTCTATCTGATATAATGGCTGTCTATGTAGGTAGGCTTCTCAATCATCCAAGCCATACACTGTCAGGTCCTGGCTCATCTTAGGAAGCGCCCAAACAGCACACTCCTTCCCTCCGAAAACCTTCAACTTCCTCTGTCCCCGAAACTCAAGCCCGATCTTCTCCAACACCCTCGCACTGTGCGTATCATCTTTACCACAGAATCCAAAAACCGAGTCAACCCCGAGTTCCCTCTTCGCATACGCCAGCAACGCAAGCGCGGCCTCGGTGGCGTACCCCTTTCCAGTCTCCTCGGGCAGAAACGCATATCCAATGTCAGGCACCAGATAAGCATTCGGTGGCTCGCCTCTCATCAATGATACGGTACCGATAGGGGTACTCTCGGCCAAAGACGCGTGCGCATGCGGCTTCAGCGAGGCCAGGAACATGCCATAGTTGTTTCGGGCGTAGTCGGCGTGCACGCGGTGCCGAAGGAAATTGGAGGCTTTCTCTGCCGTGGTGATGCTGGTGCGACCGCATGTTTTCATAAACTCCTCTGTACTCCATAGCTTCATGAGGAAAAGACAGTGCTCGGTAGAGTCGGGGAAGAAGTAGGAGATTTGGAGGCGTTCGCTCTCAATTGAGAACGTGGGAGATGCCTCGAATAGAGAGCCCATATTTGCTTGTTTCACGTTCAAGTGACGTAGTAGCTGAGTTGTCACGGAGGTGGTAATTGATTGGTAAGAGTGAGAGTTGTGACAATTGAGAAATTTAGCAGTAGCAGGGATGTGGTATTGGTTACAGCAGTAACTGGTGGGTGCTTGAAACAGAAATTTATTCCCATGTGATCGATGCGGCTGAGAGATAGGGCGTTAGCTTAAACCAGCTGACCTATCCTGGGATATCCTTGCCTTAGATCTATGTAGTATCAATTGTCCAATCAGACTTTGTAATACAAATTAGAAATTCTCGTTATCCGTCGGGAGTCCGACTGGTAATACTAGTAAATACTATTTTACGAATACAAAAACAACACAATGATTTCCGAGCCCTTGCAGAAGGAGGGGTACGTCCTATCCTGAGGTCATATTCCTTATCGCAACACGTTCATCTCACATTCCAAGATGCTCAGGTGTTATCGGAGTGGACTCGATCTGATCGGGTTCGGTTCGTGCCGCTATCCGATATCCCCGCATTCTGGTAATCTAGGTAATATTACCATGAAATACGGAATAAAATACATCAACAGTATCCTGAGGTCTACGTATAGTACGTGAGGTATTGATACTGAAAGAGGCTGAAGATAGAGGTAAATGTGGGTATTGGTAAAATAAGCCTCGTATTATTTCACCGAGTGTAGATATCGGTAGAATACTACTGCAGATCAGACTCCTGTCTTTTAGCAGCCTGCCATTTCCGCAACGCGTCAAAGTCAATGCATTCATGGATTACTCCCCATCCCAGCCCGCCAGCTGTCAGCTCTGGTGCTGTCCCCGGTGGACTAGCAGGTTCCAGAACTAGGAAATCACCGCATGTGATTGAGAGGCGGAGATATTCAAAGCAGTGGTCAGTATGCTCTGTCCAGGCCGCTGAAATTGCGTCCGATTCGTTGACAGGTTGATTGGTTTGAGACTCATAGTGGCGAAAGCGCCGTCGAACAACATTCTAACGGACAGTAAAGGTTAGATTTATTGCCATTCCTTTCGTAGAAACTATTGTGACTTACGACACAGTGAAGTTGGTGAAGATTTGACAGGACGTAGAACCGCTCATCCGTATTATCCATGTTCAAAGGATCAGAAATACCCTGGGCTAGGCCATAATCCGATGGATTTTGCAGCCAGACGGAATCACCTCCTGGGGATCAAAGTTAGTTTTATTTTGCCATTTATCTGGCGAGATAGCCAGCTTACCGCTTGTGATTTCTTTCCAGGCTTTATCGACAGCTTCACCACTGCCATAGTATTTGTTGTCGGGGACAAATGGGATTTTTAATCGCTGCTCAAAAACCTCGTTGGGTATAGGTGTCTTTAGACGTAGTCCTGGAACAAACTCAGGCGTCTTGAAGAATGAAACGCTGGTAAAACCTAGGACAATTCCTAGCCCAAAGACGACGGGGAGAAGAATAAGATATGCCCTGTAAATTCTTCTGGATACATGAGATCGAAGTCTGGTGTCCCCTAACAGAGCCTCACTAGAGGTAGCTCTGTCGTCATCGACGTGTTGGTGTTTCTCGTCATGTACACTCGTAAGTGTATAAGCTCGCGACATAGTCGATGACAGTATACTTTGCAGCTTCATTTAGCTGTGATTGAAGATGTTTATAGTAAAATTATAGAACACTTTCAGCGAAAAGGAAAAAGTTTAGAAAAATTAAGCCGCAATGATCGAATGCGTCGGCAGAGTGGGAAATGGATGTTTTCTAGGCGTCCATCTTCGAAATGGTCAGAGATTCCTATCTCAAGACCTGCATGTAATAGCGCACAAGGGTTCTATTGATCTACACTAACAGGGATTACTAGGTGTTACGCCCACCCCACTGAGCGGAAAGATCGGTGAGTATTACCGGCATTCATCGTAATTTGGGTACTACTTATTTCAAATATATAACTCGTGCGATTAGTCTGATATGAGGAATGTTTCCCAACTCCCATAAAAATGTGAGATAGGTAGCTAGTGATCCCTAGCTTAGTGCATGTTAAGGCACATTTCAATCAATGAGGAAATTGTGGACTGAGGAGAGGCAGAGTCGGGACAGCTCATGTAACATCACGAGAAGAGTTGAAGTAGTTGGCCTGAAAAGGCATCGCCCCTCACCTCACATCTATGTGCGCGCTGCATCAACACGATGTTTGATTCTCCCGAAAGGAGGCGAGAACACCCGATGGCAACACGGGAGTAGTTCAGCTCATAGGCTTAATGCAAGGTAACTTGTTGCCTACATGGCCACATAGGATGTGGTTCGCGTGTACTGGGGTTGCCCCAGGTCGATTTTATAAATACTTGGCTTCTTGACCACCTAGAATGCATTTCTTCATCGACGTCAATATCGAACTTCAAAGTATCTTCTTCAAATACATCTGAACTCTAAGTCTAAGCCTACGAATTGTGAGATCAATGCTACCAAGTCAATTTTAAACCCAGTATACAGAGACTAATTATACATAGTCTTCAATATGAGGTTTATCATCGCTCAGACAGTTTTGGCCGTTACCTTGGCTGCAGTAGCCAGTGGTCTGGCCATCAATTCCGAGGCCGCGGAGCCGGCTTGGGTTTGGTCTTCGGCTTCCAAACGCGGGCCTGAAGAAAATGTAAAGCCCGAAATTGCGGAGCCGGCCTGGGTTTGGTCTCCTAAGCGTGATTCCGAGGAGAATGCAAAGCCCGAGCCAGCCTGGGTCTGTTCTTCTAAGCGTGACGCTGAGGAGAATGCAAAGCCCGAGCCGGCCTGGGTCTGGTCTTCTAAGCGTGATGCCGAGGAGAATGCAAAGCCCGAGCCAGCCTGGGTCTGGTCTTCTAAGCGTGACGCTGAGGAGAATGCAAAGCCCGAGCCGGCCTGGGTCTGGTCTTCATCCGCCAAGCGCGAGACTGAAGAGCAAGTAAAGCCCGAGCCGGCTTGGGTTTGGTCTTCTGCTTCCAAGCGTGTAGTTGAAGAGCATGAGGAGATTGCAGCATAAGGGCTTCGGCCAGCTGAAACGATGGAATGCTTCAACAGCCAGCCACGAGAGACGAATCCAACGAAAGGATGAATTTTTGATGACAACTAAAGTGGGATGGTGCTATGTACCTAGCTTGCTCTATCTTTATTTCTGAATTGACTCCCATAAAACATTTCGGATGCTGAACAAATCTCCAAACGTATTAGATTAATAATTTCTGGAACCACACTCATTTATAGACCAACATGGGACACAGACAATGACAGATGTTCCCACATTACTTAGATGATCTAGTATCCTTGACATAGAAGATGCCCGCTAGTTCTTGCATTCTAAGAATTTCTTGGCCAGTACGGAGTATACGGCACAGGTTTAGCCGACACTCATCAACTACATCCGTTCTATATGCTCTTCAAAACCTAACCCGATACATACGACCATAGGGTGTGGAAAACAGGGCTTCCCGTCCGCTCAGCCGTACTTAAGCCACACGCCGGTGAGTTAGTAGTTGGGTGGGTGACCACCAGCGAATCCTCACTGTTGTATGTTTTTGTTTTTATTAATTCAGTATACTCCGTAGCAATAGCATGTTCATCTTAGGCCCCGTTGTGGACCTCTATTAATAACTTTTTGGAAATGAAGCTTAACCAGACATGAGACTCGGAAGATAGAGAAGACTATATTTTTAATATAAGGATTAAAGAAAAATATATAGATATAAAGCGTATAATCTCTCTAGGCTTAAGGTAGGACAATAAGTCACAGCTTTTTATATAAGATCTACGAATTTTAATAGCTATAACTAATAAAATCTATAGTAATAAGCCTATAACCCTTACGATATACTTTATAATACTCTTTATAATATACTTTAAACTTACATGCCAGGTCATTCGAGGAAAGAGTGCATTGGTTTTAAAGTTCTAAGTATAAGGGAAGAAGGAAAAAGGAAAACTATCTCTGAGGGTGCTGCTCCTTCTTATATCCTTTCTTGTTTACTCTCAGGGTAAATATCGATATTTCCTCGCTTAGTCTGTTTTCCCTTCTTGGAAGGAACGAGGGAGGTCGCTCCTGCCTCGATCGTCACAATCCTCGATAGATATCTTCAGTATCCTATTCTCTCAGTAGACGGACACGCGCGTCCGTCCTCTCGAGCCATATAGAAAGTGTCGTAACTGCAGTCCGCCCACTCAGTCTTCCGTCGCTTCTAGGTCGTGCCGTGTCGTTCGCTTTTTATTTTTGACTCTATCGTTTCTGTATCCTTAGACCCAACGATATCCTCCTTTCAGTAGAGCAGCCCGAGAGCACCCCAAGGGTGTCCTATCCCACGACCCTAGTGTCCACTGATTGTAGGATCGGTTTCGCAGTCGTGTATCGGGTGGTTTTCAAAGTGTTCCCTTGTCGCCTATGCGTGGGGTCAGGGCCCCTGACCCCTGAGCTCATTACTCCAGCCGTAGCCCTAGCCAGCAGACAGTGCTGGCCGGTAGTGACTCTTCTTAGCCCTACAAATACCATCCAGGCAAGGCACAGGTTTCCAGCCGGCACCACGGGGAGGTGAGAGTCGTCGCCGGCCCCAGGAAGCTACAGTACTTTGCAGAATCAGATTCACACCTCAAACGTTCCCTCACTTTTATAAAGTATATGCCAAGCATTGGCATTATAAAATACCGAATTGTCAAATAGAGCGGTACGAAACCGTTTGATGTTATCTGGACGTGACTTCTACCCCGCCATGCTACCTTGGTCTTCCCGACCTGACCATCTGTCAACAAGTTGATGGGGATCAAATTTCACCATGGCACCAAGACTACCTCTATCTAAGGTCCAATTTTTTAGTGACATGTTGAGAAGCAATGAACTCACTATATCCGAAATTGCCCGTATAGCCGAATGTAGTGCATCATCTGCTCTTTCCTCATTATCCACGTTACCTAGTGAGGATGAGCTTCTACCAATCGATATTAGTATTATTGGTCGGGTAGGAATCTCAACTATACGAAGAATTGTATAATAAGAATAAAAGGGGAAGCTAGGGAAGCCGAGGAATCACACAGGTCCAAGGCGGTAAAACAGGCGGTAGACAAATTATTATGGGTTGGCGCGATGGCGTCTAAAACCTGCCGTAGTATGGTTGACTGTATGTGCGCATCAGTATATGCAAATAGAGCATGTGACCAAGTACCATTGTTTGTTTCCACTTTCAACTCTTCATCCTCCTCATCAAGTTTCTTCATTTCCAACTCACCTTTCTTCTGCTTTCTGACCTTCTCATAATTTCGCACTTTTATCTCTTATCGAATTAATCATGGACGACGACGACCACGTCCCGCGTTCATGGTTCCCTGAGGGGCTCGATCCAGGCGACGAGGTCACCCTCAACAAGCCCACCCGCTCGGAATGGGTAATCGACAGACTGGTCAATAAGCACAGCTACCAATGCGCAGACCGGTCTCTCGACTCTTACGCATGTGTTCTGTTCGAATGCCACAACGCTGCAGGTGGACAAGAGGCTTTTATGCGCGTTTACGCCCAAGTTCCACACACCTGTTATGAGGATGCGGACCGAGCTACTCGCACCCGAGAAGCGACTGAATTCACACCCCCCGAGCTAAAGGCATACAAGTTTCTTAAAGATAAATGCTCGCAAAATACACCTCTACTACTAGCATACAAGCAAGGGTCTCAGGATAGTAGGTCAGGGGCAGTTCCTAGAGGGCATCTTACGTGGATTGTATGGGAGAAGGTCCCTGGAGATCGCCTAGGAGATTTCAAATCTGCTTTTGTGTACTGGGATATGGACCGTGAGGAACGAAAGCGTGTCCGTGAGGCCTTCCTTCGAGAGCTTCCGTGAGTCGAACACCTTTCTATTGCCAAGGGTAATGCTAATATGGAATCACTATTATTAGGAAGGCCCAGCATATGGGGTATTTCCCTGAAGGGGCCCGCCCTCGGAATCTAGTCTGGAATTCGGATACCGGTGCTCTGTATGCCGCTCATCATGTTTATAATCTTGGGAGTTCGACTAACGTATTGCTACAGTTATTTTGTTGGTTTCCGGGATGCAGAGGGTTTCAAGGCTAAAGGCACTTTCGGCATAGAGTGGTTGCCACGTTTTGATCTTGCTAGGCCCCCTCGATCTTACCTATGGAACAAAAGTTTCAATGGTGATATCTCGGACTGGAAAGTCTGATTTGATCATTGCTTCATGTAATTGGACATTGTTCCTTTTGATCATCTTAGCTCATTACTGCCAGAACTACGAGGGAGGGGTGCAAGGTGAGTGGGCAATACGACTTGTTTGCTGTCGAGTACTGGGACAGGGGAGTAGAGGAAGCTCAACGAGCACACTATGTAGCTACCTACTCTACAATACACTGCGTGCAAACAATCCCAACAATTACTCTAGTCTTAGTCTTCTCCACCTGTCTACTCCATCAGTCTCTTAGCCTTTCCCTTCTCTCTACTCGATCAGTCAATCTCAGCTTCTCTACTTGTCTCTCTATTAGCTCATTAGGCTTCACTTCTTATTCACCAATCTGGCTCTCAGACTTCTTTACTTGCCTCTCTATCGGTTTCTCGGCCTTCTTATCTGATTACTTCGCAGCTTGTGAGATCCTATCATCTGAACAAAGCACTTACGACTGAAAGTAACATATTCATCTCATCAAATCATCACGTCTATTGACCAACGCACTCGAATTGAGAAAGCAATGGCTCAGATCATTACTCTAGCTGCCCGAGAACTTCCCCTCGAGACTCTCCCGCCCCTCCTGGTAGGGCCCAACCATACCAACAGCAGCGCCATCCACAAGGTCGATTTTGTGGGCCAGTTGATGCCATGGCCAAACTTCGAAAGGGAAGTCATTGCCGCCCTCTCCTCGCCAAGCACCAATTGGAGCACCGATACCCTTGATGTTCGCATTGTTGGCCCGGGAGCAGAAAACTCAATGTCCGTCGAACAGCTCGTCCTCGGAGACGAGACCGGCCTCCAAGGCCGTTTGAACGAGCGGCTTGGACGGCCGGTCACCGCTTCGCTGCAAGCCCAGCATCACCACCTACGGGCGGCAGACTTCAAGGCCAGTGCGGCCGCAGCAGCGGGTTACACAAGGGTCCCAGATATGGTGATGCTCAACGATGTCTCTGCCATCAAGGTCATTGGGGAAGTGAAAACCCCATGGCCCGGCGCACACTGTGATATGCTGAGTATGGGAGTGCAGGATTTTGAGATTGCACACGGAAAACTATTTCGTCGCAGGCTAGGTATGGTATACACTCTAGTTATCCGCGGTGAATTCGTGTACTAATAGTTATGCTATCTTACAGGCCAAGTTTCTCGTTATATGAAGGAACTGAACACCAAGCACGCCTTTCTCTCGACCTACGACGAAACCATTTTCCTCAGAAAGGTTGACATCGGAGGAGTTTGGACTCTCCAATTCTCTCCTGTCATCCAATATGACCGTCCTTATAACCCCCAAACGGAGACTATTACCGCCCAGCAAGGGCTTTTCTATTTAGCCCTTCTTAGACAGTCTGAACCCGCGTTTACTACCAGGGCCAGCACTGGAGCCCCACGGCGCAACCAGAAGTGGACCGTTTCAAGAGAACGACAGTAAACATGAGTTCAGATTGTCCGAGAAGGGCTAAATGGAGAAGCCTATGCCGTATGGTAATAGTCTCCGTTTTAGGGTTATACGGACGGCTATATTGGAATGACAGGAGAGTACTAGAGAGTCCAAACTCCTCCGATATCAACCTTCTGAGGAGAATGGCTTTCAAGTCCCTCAGATCTCTCCCCAGTCCCTTCAAATATCTTCAAACCCCCCTCCCTTTTTTCCCCTCACCGAGGATGCTTCTCTCCGCCCCTCAAAATCAACTTCACGCAACTCGATGCCCCGGTTGTTACAGCAATTCTAAACAATACCCCTGATATCTGGTGGTCAATTAGTGGGACTAGGTTCTGAGATATTGTGGTGGAAAGCCGTCTAAGCTTGGGTCGCAAGTTGAAGAGAGAGAAAAATGCACACCAGTCCCTCATACAGGCTTTAGGCGCCATGGACTTTTTTTTTTCAGAAATGACAAGGTCATTGATTTTCTCATTGCACATATTAGTCTCTCGAACATAGGATAAAATAGCCTCTATTTTTAGAGATACTTCTAATCGATAGATCTTACTCTCTCTATCATACAATTAACAAGAATTATCCAAGGCTATTATGCTGTCTGGAAATCAACTGATATCTACCAGATAAGTCCCGTAAATTCTACACCTGAGCGGTCGCTGCACCAATAGACACGGTCTACCTGCTATTACTCTGCTTCAATTGACATATTCAAGTTTACAGCAAGGGTTTTCTTGGTTAAAATGAATAGAGCTTGACAAGTCCCGCAGCACCAAGGCAATTTTGGTGCTGCGATATGGTGCTGCGAGGTACTGCGGGACTAAGCCAATTTTGGTGCTGTTGTATAGTGCTGCAGCACTACCGCAGCACTAGTTTTAGTACTACACTAGTATAATTATACTAAGTGACGGAAAAACGGTGGTAAGGCGAATGTATATGTGGCAGAAAAATCTCAATAAATTCTCTAACTCTCTAAAAATGACAATGACTGTATATAAGCTATACGCCGGTGAGTTAGTAGTTGGGTGGGTGACTACCAGCGAATCCTCACTGTTATATGTTTTTACTTTTATTCTGCTCTTTAAATCTTATATAGATAACCAATGTAGAGTTTTAGGGAAGCTGTTCTTTACCATACGGATGTGTTAGTCCATACAGTCATAGTTCGATTGGGTTCCAGATAGTAGCAGATACCAACAGGCCATTGTTCGCTACAGAAACTCTGCCATTGCGTCCAGGAAGATCAGATTCTCTAATCGGCGAATAGCAATTTAGAAGAATGCTCAGGATTAGAACAACCTCGAAGGAGCAGAGCCTGGCCTTGGCTTCCCATATCATCCAAGGAAATCATGCTGCCAGGTCAGATTGAATTTTCTTTCCTGTTCAATCTGGAACTGACGCAAAAGTTCGAAGTCAATACAGTCGTGCTCGACTCCCCATCCAGTAACGGAAGTAGCATGTCCTGTAAAAGCATTAGACAAGTGTATGACAATAATGTATATTGGAGAGGGTTGACTCTACCTTTTCCAACTTTGATCGGGCTTGACCCTTCTATTATGAGATCTCCCCCACACGAAATTGCTTGCCTGAGGTATTCGAAGCAGTGCAGGACATGTAAATTCCATTTGACTGCATCATGTTCGGTATCGAGGTCGACACCGTCCCGAGCTTGCCAAAACTGAAAGCGAACCATATTCTGTGACTTGGAGTTAGTCAAATTCTTTAATTAGATTACGGACCCAAACGTACTAGACAGTGAAGCTGGTGAAGGATCGAGATCACATAGAAATCATGTTGTGGAGGATCGGTCTCGTGGGGATGATCGAATGGCGCGACGATGCCCTCGGGCAAACCCCATTTGTCGGGGTCCTCAATCCAGACAGCATCATGGCCTATAATTATGGAGTGTGAGTAAGCAATGATGAAAAGGAAGTGGTCGTCATCTCACCAGCTACCAAGTCATCCCAATGGTGATCTACCTCTTTCGAATTCCCAATGTACCTCTCATCCGGTTGAAATACCCTTCTAACTGGCTTAAACACGTCTTCTGGAATAGGGGTAAAGGTGCCGAGCGGAAACTTGCCACTGATTTTCGGGGCAGTATATGACTTCCAATATAGAACTGCGGTCGTAGTCCACCCAGTTGCAAGGATTGAGATGACAATGTATAGGAGAAGATTCCAATGCCTATGATCTTCAGGCACTGGAAGTGCTGTATCTTCTCCGTCATTATTGTTTATTTCTCGGTACTTCGAATCGGAGCCTCTTGGCTTCAAAGGCCACATGTTGTCAGTCACTGAAATAAAGCCGAGATCAGAGAGAAAGACAAAAGAGCGGCTCAAATGTTTAGAGTCAAATAACCACAAGAGTTGCAGCACTATGGTCAAAGTGAGAGATAATCTTTCGTAATTGCTCCGCTCTCAAATTGCTACCTAGAATTACATCCTATATCCTCCGCTAATCCTGCATACCTCTCTAATCCAGTTGCATCAGGCCTCACTGAAGTAAGGATAGAAAATAAACATAGATAGAGAAATTAGAGCCCTACCCCGCGGGCCAGATCTGCAAATATCCACATTTGCTAATATGAAGAGCATAGAAAATGCACATGGACCCAGCTGAGTAACCAGGATATCAGTTCAGCCGATGCAAATACAATGCCACCTCATCCTGCGATATGAGTGGTCCATTTGTAATTATGTAGGGGGCTCGAAATGCAGTCACTTGCAGTGTTCGTAGATATGGCCAAAGGAGGTATAGAATGCCAATCTATGTACTTTGGTTAGGTTGTAATCTAGCTCGTTAGGGATGCTACGACATGCATATATGTATGCCCAGGTGGTATGCAGAATGCAGGTGGGTTCAGCTGAAAGTGAGTTCATATATGGCCCACCTTCATTGAGAAATAAACAGAGCCGCGTAATTATGATCGTAATTAATTCACTATCTAGACCAGAACTCATCTTTACTTATTTGTTGCTTGTTTGAATATTTAATACGCTGTATGTACTCCGTACAGAGTTATGATATCAGCTTACTGCCAGTACGTACGGTGCAAGCGTATGAATCATGAATCATAATTAACTAAAGGTAGAATATTCATTATGTACTGCAATAAATAATATATTCTTGAGACGTTGAGTACAGACAAAACTATTATATGCAATGGGATAGATTTCTTGCAAAGATATTGCTACATATACCTCGGATTTCAAGCCGCGCTTGATGAATTTCCCATCCCTTGCCGCCTTTTGGTCGCTGAGAATCAAGCACGCCCAAGTATCCTGAGCTGCACGAGGAAGAAACAGAAAGAGGCTACCATGCGTCCAGGGTAATATAGATGCACTATATGGGACCCTATGGTGTGCTTCCGTTGCAGTGTCGATCCTGTCATATATACAAAATACCGACCTGTGTCGTCTAGGAGGCAACCTGAACACCCTGCGGATTGTGGAAGGTATCCTTTGGATCCAACTCTCCCTTGAGCTCTGCTAATCTTGGAAGGTTGCTACGCCAGTATGCATTCTGGGCATCGGGCAGCTTAGGATCTGGGCATCCGAGATATGCGTGCCCCGCACTCTCTGGCACTGCCTGGGCCAGAACATTATAAAGACCATCGGTGAAATCATATGTGGTCTGCGTGACCGGACCAAGCGGATTGGCTACGAAGATTTGGAACCAGAAAAGCACATCGCGGTGGCCATAGGCTGTGGCATCTTGAGGCACGGCGTTGATAGCTCCACCCTCCAGGCTGAGCGTCACAAACCAGGCTAAAGTGCCGGCATTGGTTTTGTGGATGTAATCGAAGAAACTGTCGATAGCGGAGTCAGAAATCAGCGTGTCGGGGGTGAATCCGAGTGACTTGGCGTAAAACCAGGTTGGGTCGTTTCCGACCAGTCTCAGAATGGTATCCTCCAGTCCGTGGCCGATCATGCCCAGCCAACCCGTCAGTACTAGCACGGTACCGGGCTCGCTGGTGGGGAATTTCTTTTCTAGGTCGAGCATATCGTACTCCTCTTTTGAGCCGAAGTAAATACCTTCAAGGATGATCTGGCCGTCGAAGATGACCAAGTTGGAGTAAAACTTCCAGGTGAGGTTCTCCTGGGCTATGTATGCCTGCCAATCCTTAACGAGCTTCGCCTTCTCGGCGGGAGTTCCCAGATTGAATGTGTACGAATATTGAACGGCCAAACCAGGTGCCTCCTCCGTGCGCACTTTGAACTCCGTGACAATCCCGAAGCTGGCAGCAGCGCCTTTGATAGCGAATAAAACATCCTGGTTTTGAGTATTCGACGCCCGCACAATACTCGAGTTTGCCAAAACCACCTCGACTTCCTCCACATGGTCAAGTGCCAGACCCCATTGGCGCGCTGTCGGGCCTAATCCGCCCACCGTTAGGTGGCCACCTGTCCGAATGGTCGGACAAATACCGTGTGCCATTGCTCTGTTGCCCGCATTGTAAATCTCGGTGTCGAGGTCGCCTAGAGTCGTGCCGGGACCGATGGTCGCAATAAATGTCGACTTGTCCATAGAGAATTGCGAGAAGTGCTTCATATCGACCACGATGGCTCCATTTTGTCCTCCAAGGCCTAGAACAAGTTAGTCAACTAAATGCCCCGGTAGCTGAACTACTATCATCATCAAAGTCATACCATAGTTGCCAAAACTATGGCCTCCACTGCGAGCCTGCACCTTGTAGTCATAGTCAGAGGCACATTTAACCACAGCAGCTATTTCGTCCGCTGATTGAGGGTACGTGACTGCCGCCGGGGTGACCGGGATATTCAAGTTGTACAGATCGACTGCGGTAGTCTGGTAAAGAAGCGTATCTTGGAATGCGACGTGAGCGGCTACACCCCCGACGGCAGATACCAGACAGTCACGTCCTGCGGCAATGCTGGTGGTATTGCCCATAGTGAAAAGGCGTGGTACGTGAGAAATACGAAACAAAGACGCGACCCCACGCGTAACTAAGCCTTTGGACCCCTTTAATGTTTACTGTGGGTCGTTAGCGTGATAACGTGATCTACAAGCGCTTTAGGGTTGCTACGGATACCGCGGCTTGGGAAATGCAATCGGGGCAATACGTTCAGGCAAGTGCTCCCATCCTGTCAATTGCTGAACTGTCAATTGACTTGTAGGGCAATATGCAGTTGCTAGTAACGAGCGGGACGGGAACGAATCCACTTCAGCCATTTGAACCAAGAAAAGGAATGCTCCAAGTGACAAGCTAGGCGTTCGCCCCACTAAAGCTAGATTAATTTCAAGCTGTCCTGTAGTCGAACGCAGAACTATCTGTACGGTTCAAGCGCATTTCTGGAATATAAGAAAAGACGTTGCAGCCGATCACCACCAAGGCAGAACGGTACCGCAAGGAATCGGATGAATCACGGGCAGAGGATATAGTACTAGGAGTGAGTTGTAGATGTCTGATATCTTCCTTACGAAATACGATGCTGTATTATTTACGGCCTTAATTTCCACCCTGATAACCCGGTCTTACGAGACCCTGCCATTGCAGGACGCAAGGAACTAGAGAAAAGTACCCCGAAATTGATTTTTACCGCATTTAGTACAGCAGATCTCATAGGAAACTTACACATTCTCAGGTAACAGACCTAAAAGAGATAGGGAATTTGGCCGAGCCAATAGACTTAGCTTTGCTCAATGGCCATGTCCGGCATGTGGCCCCTCGTCAAAATCATTCAGGTCGGCAGGTGTATGCGTAAGTCTACCACCTGTATACCCCGACCCATGCACTTTATTCGACCGATGCTCGTACGCCCAAGAAAAGATCTTATTGAAATCACGGCATTGATGGACAGCTCCCATGCCGTTGATTCCCACTTCGGACATTGGCTCGAAAGTAGGGTCTGCATGGCACATGAGAACTTGTCGGATATAGTCGAGGCAATGATCGCGGTGGAAGGCGACTTCTTCCTCGTCCATGTCTTTCACGGATGAGGGATAATAGGCGAACCGGAGAAAGTTCTATGCAAGAGGTTAGATATTATATATTGAACCTGAATTGGCTCCATACCAGACAGTGTAGCTGGTGGAAGACTGATACACCGTAGACCAACGCAGTCTCTGGATTATTTGGGGCAGGTAGGGACTCGGGAAGGTTCTTTGCAGCTGCAATTGGAAGTTCCACGATACCATCGCCAGCTAATAGGTGATTCCGTCAGTCGCGATTCTATTTCTCAAGTTGGAATGAAAGGATGCACTCACGGGGAGAAAGTCGTTTCCATATCTCGTCTGTCTTGTTTGACGGCGGTCCGCCGAAATAAGAGTGAGGTTGGAAAGTAACCCGGCTGGTATATTGCACTGTGATACAGAGAACTCTTGATCAGCCGGCTCATTTCTCTCTACACTCTTTCTCAGGAGAAGCTTTTGCTCACAGTCTTCCTCGAACTTGGTTGTCCACGAGTCATCGCATTGACATTCCTCCGACTTCCTGGCAAATGTGCCTGTAGCCCACAGGCCTACAGTGGTAATGAATATAAGAGCATTGAGGGCGATTAGCCAATTTCGATAATTGCAAATCTGCCCTCCCCAGGATGACCGGGAAGATTTTCTAGAGTAGTTCCAAGGGTGAGGAAGTAATGTTGAGCTCGAATCACTTCCACCTGACTCAATAGGAAGGTCCTTGTCTGACTGGAAATCATCATGAGCGGCCATTGCAGATTTGAGGGGGGGAGATAGGACTTGTCATCAAAGTTGAAAGAATAGATGGATGGGTATTGGATGAAGGATATTGATGGTTTCCCAAAATATATATGTAAGAGAATATGCACGAGACATCAGAATGAATTAGACCTACCTAATCATCCTACAAGTTGTCCAATCACTTGAAACCTTTTAATACAGCCCGTACATGAAGTATATCAGATTTCAGGCGCTCCATGGTCCTCCCTTTCCGTTTTAGTGCTCACCCCTTGCCGCTTTTCGATCAGGCCCTTGATTATTACGTAATCGATAAACCCGCTGTAATTTTCAGGTCCGGTATGATTAAATTACCGCCAAGAGCGATAACTGAAAAATACAGATATCGCGTCCTAGTGGAATTTTCGTAAGGAATGCCCGGGCGTTTCAATCTTTACATCTCTCGCCTTTCGTTTTTCGCCTTTAGTTTGGGTGATGTCATATCCACGACCAGGTGGTAATACAGTGGGGTGAAATCGCCAAACGCGAATGGCGAACATCATGCTTACAAGCCCTCGATAGGAAGGAAGAGCTGATTGTCTTATTCCGCGCATATTCTCAAGTCAAACGGTATTCCGTGGCCTCGCGAAACGTAAATGCCAAGGCGACTTGAGCACAATCGTAAGTCCATGCTGGCCTAGTCGACGTTTTAGTCTCTGAAATTAATGCGGGGTTTATTTCATCTCTAGGCTGGTGAGTCAGTCCACTCGTACCCTAATTGTTGGCCTTTCAAGCCATTTAGACGATACCATCTCGCCTTTCGCCCTAAATTGTTCACTAATTTGACTACCCAGCCAAACTTGCAGGACAAGGCGGGTCAAATGTTAGTCTTGCTTACGTCGTCTCCAGTCACTGCGCGTGGGCTGATTCTGATACAACGAAAGGCGACGGAAAACGACCCAAATGTACCCCATGTCACCGCATTGCGCGTGATTGCCATTGGCTTCAGGAAGGAGGCACAACAACAGCGCCGGTAGTTCCAGTCTACCAATCGAGCCCTTTGAGCGCAGCTACTCCCCATGAAACCGAATATACCTCCACGGAGCATCCTGAGTATGCCTTACAGGACCCACAAGTTGCCAAATTATTCCGCCACTACATAGCAACCTTGGCCGCGTGGTATGATCTCAATGATAGCAAGCGCCATTTCAAGGATGTTGTTCCCGTCAGGGCGAGATATAATCCGCTATTGCTCAGTGCTATTCTCGCGTTTGCTGCTGCTAATCAACACCGCACCCTTGGCGAAGAAGCGTATCTGGATATTGCTGAATTCTACCACTATGATAGTGTGCGGAGATTGATCTCCCTCACGAAGAATATCGATAGCATTCCTCTTGGCGAAACACTCGCCGCCATTTGTCTTTTGCGATCTTATGAAATTATCACACGTTAGTAGTTCCCGACATTCCTAATTTAAGCTTCCTCTGAAAATACAGACGCTAACAGCTTAATAACAACCTTAGAAAACGTCAGCTCTCAGAGTCACCTGCAAGGATGCTATTCTCTACTAGCGAGTCAGCGTATCCATCTCACAGCAGACCTACTCAGCGCAGGTTATTGGAACTACCTCCGAGAAGACATCACAGTGGCTCTCATAGAGCAACGCGGTTTAATGATCACTCTGTCCAATCAAAATGCCCCAGCAGAACCAACCGAGGATGCGGACTTTGCTAGTTCCATCACATTCCTGCTCGGCAAGATTATCAACCGGTGCCTGGCAGTCGATTCACAAGCATTAGCCCCCCTCGAATGGGAAGCCATGAAATCTGAACTAGACAAGTGGAAAGCATCACTCCCGTCATCGTTCGACACGATACAAACCCCCGGGCTCGGGAAACAGAGTAGCTTCCCGTCTATTTGGACACTGCGAAGCTGGCATAGTGAGTATACTCGACCTACTTCTTATTCAGCTTCTAACATGGTAAGCGTCGACTCTCCATTACTACCATACCGCCATGGGAATTCTATGGTTGGCTCAGCCTGCAGCTCAACCCTTGAAAGCTCTACAACGCATCGACGATATGGAATCTATACAGCGGAAGTTAGAATACCACGCGACGGAGATTTGTGCCCTGGCCCTTTCGAGCGACTCCGCACCCGTCTGGGTCAATGCTTTTGGCCCGATTGCATTCTGTAAGATTTGTCAAACGTTCCCTCGGGCTATTCTGATAAACGTTGTGTATAGATTGCCCTTGGCTTCGCGATACCCAGAAGCGCGTGGAAATGGCAGGAGAGTTGGAAAAGTGGGGGAAGCTGACCGGGTGGCCGGTTTCCATTATAGCGGATGCTCTTTCTCCGCCAAGCACAACCTCGATGACACTTTAGATCTATTAATTATCACCTTTGTATTCTATGGAAATTCTGTGGGATGGTAGTGAAAGAGCTTCATAACACTTTATGGTATTCTTATCCACAAAGTCAATATGGATTTCATCTCATTCTTGTTTGATTGCGCATAAAGCAGTTTAGATCAAGATGAATTTCAAGACTACCACCTGTCCTGTCGTTTCGCCATCAATTATCAGTAGGATAAACCTCGCCTAAGGGTTCTGGTTAAAGTCGTAGGCATTGCCAAAGCCGCGGTTCAGATAGCGCGACAGTGCATCCGACTTGCTGACCCAGTCCACAGGAACCTCCAGCTCAGTCTGGCCCTCAATAACAGGCTTGAGATCATCCGCGAATTCAAGTCTCATAGGGTTGCGATACCACGGCGCAAAGTGGACTATCGAAGTTAGAAATACTCAGCCGGAGGACAGAACTTCAACTTACTCATTGCCAACATGACTCGGGGGTCCTCGGTCTGGTTACCGACTCCAGCATGCCAAAGACGAAGGTCTCTGACGACCAAAGCGCCCTTTGGAACGACGGGCTGACATGGCGGGCGCTCTACACGGCGCTTCTCTACCTCGTCGAGCTTGATGCGACCACTGGCACGGTCGCCGTGTTCGCCCTCTTGGAGATGTAGACCTGTGTCATTGTGTGTTCCCAGCCATACCTCAGTAGAGCCATTCGCCGGGGTCATGGTGATGAGAGGGACATTGATGACGTATGCAAATGGATGAATTGGATGGGCAAAGTCTGCGTCTGTGTGGATAGGCTGGGACATTGGAGGGTTCTCTGCAGTTGGGGGCATTGCAGTATTTCCCGAGCAAAAGGTCCATTTTGGGCGTGGTCCCAGTGCTGATGTGGTGATTTGAGTTGCGATGGGGTCTGAGTAGGATTAGGAGCTGTGGACTGAAGTGCAGTTGGGGCTTTGTGACATACTCATGAAAATACTAGGCTCGAAGAATTCCCTCACGGGAGGAGCGTCTTGTTGGATATTTCCCAGGTTGTAGTTAAATGGGATGTCCTCTTTCTTGGACTGGAGGTAGTAGGCATCTTCGACCATCTTTTTGTTCAGTCGGTTGAGGCAGTCGTGGGGGATCACATTTTCAACAACGACAAGTCCATCCCGGTGCAGGCTGCGCATTGCAATCTCTAGATTCTGGCGTGAAAGACGCCCATTCTTGATTTCATCTTGTGATGGACGAATGGATTTCGGATAACTTGTGATCTTCCCGAGTTGGGTCGCTAGAGATCGGATCTGATAGTGACGGCTCAACACTGTTGGAGCCTTGAAGAGGATTTGGCTCATGGTGATGAAGTGATATGTACTAGGAGAGGGGAATGTGAAGACAATTTCAAGAGATCATGAATTATTTATACATGTCAAGTCAGTTTAACGAGATAAACATTGCGGAGACGGCCTATAAAGATGTTTGCCCCGCTAGTCTTTTCGCCTTTCCTCGCCTTTCGGTGGTGCCACTTTCGCTCGTATGTATGCGGAGAGTCCGACTTGCCGAGGGTAAATCGATTATATTAGCTTTTAACCATAGTCGTTTCCCCTACTTTGCCAATCGCAAAACCAGTTAAACAGCCTCTCAAAATATCGCTTCGCTAAACGGCTCGCATTTGGTGGATTCGTTCGCCTTTCGTCCCATTAGGCGAAAGCGCAAGTTCCCCTCAACCCCGCACGCAGCCTGTTCCTATGACTCCTAACTATAAATTGTAGTAATTTCCTCTTAAAGTCCAGAAAATGACTTCTCAACCGAAGCTCCTCCCGCAATTGACCTCCGCCAAGCTCTTCCTCACCGAAGCTGGACTCGAAACCACCCTGATCTACAAAAAGAACATCCACCTCCCCAGCTTCTCCGCTCTCCCCCTCCTCAATGCTCAATGCAGAAGAAGGCACAGAAACCCTCCTCGCCATCTACAAAGGCTATATAAATATCGCGCTCACGCACTCAACCGGCATCGTCCTCGAAACACGAACATGGCGCGGCTCTCCGGCATGGTCTTCCAAACTCGACCTTTCCGTCCCGCAGATCCTCAATCTGAACCGCGCGGCAGTGAAAATCCTCCGTGATCTCAGACCCAAGATTGAGACGCCATCTACTCCGATCGTTATCAGCGGGACGCTGGGGACTCTCCAGGATGCGTACCAGGATTCCACGGATACGGTTTCTTTCTCTCAGGCGCAGGAGAATTACCGCGCCCAGGTTCGCATTTTCGCTGAGGAAGGTGTAGACATGGTGTCGATTATGACTGCTACGAATCTCAATGAGGCTGCGGCGGCTGTGTGTGTGGCGCGCGAGTATAATCTCCCTATTCTCGTCTCGTTTAGTATTGAGGTTGATGGACGGTTGCGGGGAAAGAGAACGCTTGAAGATGCGGTGCGGGAAGTCGATCGTCGCACGGGGAACTATACGACGTATTTCGGTGTGAATTGTGCACATCCGCGTCATATCAGGACGGCATTGCGGGATGTTCCTGAGGATGTGAGGTCGAGGATTGGGGCTATTCGAGGGAATGCGAGTCTTAAGAGTCATGATGAGCTTGATAACTCGCTAGTGCTGGATCGGGGCGATGTTTCGGTGTGGGCTCAAGAGTTCAATGGGCTTTTGGATATGTTGCCCGAACTGAAAGTCGTTGGGGGTTGCTGTGGCACGGATGAAGAGCATATTGAGACTCTTGCGAGAGGAATTTACAGGTAATTCCTGGTTTTACCGAATATTTACATAGCTGAATGTATAGTATTAGATTTACGAATAGAATTGCAAACAGGAAAATTAAATTCGTATTCCAGCTCACAGCGGAAGACCATAGATATCATAATAATAATAAAGATCATTCAGCATACACAACATCATTCAAGAGCTACGCTCAAAGCAGATCTTTGAAGTATCCACAAACACCAAAAAAGAAAATCGTAAAAAGAACATCAAAATCAGGCCTCAGCCTTGGTCTCAACACTCTCGTGGTGCGTAGCAATCTCAGCCTTCTTCTCATTAGCATCGATCTCCAGCTGCTCAGTGAAGTTGACGGAAGGAACCCAGCCAACAGACTTCCAAGCACGGGGAATCTTAGCATAAAGCTCATCAACCTGCTCAAGCGAAAGACCCTTAGTCTCGTAGATGCAGGTGTAAACAAACACAGCACAGACGAAGCAGAATCCGCCCCAGATGAAGAACACCTTGGACTGGAGATTGGCGTTTCCAGGCCCGCTGTTGACCATGTACGGCGTGGCGTAGGCAATAGCCCAGTTGAGCAGCCAGTTGGTAGCGGTGGTGATGGAGAGACACTTGGCACGCGCCTTGAGGGGGAAGAGTTCACCCGTCACGACCCACGCGACCGGACCCCAGGAGCAGGCGAAAAAGAAGATGTAGACGCACACGAAGGCGATGAGGACTTTGTTCGAGATGTCGGAGTCGGTGGCTGTGCCGACGATCGCGACGATGAGTTGCGAGACGCACATTCCCACGGCACCGAACATGAGGAGAGGGCGGCGACCCCATTTCTCGACCATGTAGAGACCGGGGAAGGTGGAGATGACGTTGATGATGTTGGTGATTAGGGTGATGACGAAGGAGTTTTGGATGCCGGAGTTTTGGAAGAAGGTGGTGCCGTAGTAGACTATTTTGGTTAGTGATGTGAAAGGTAGAATGTGTAAGAAGGGAACATACAGATGAAGTTGACACCAGTCAGCTGCTGCAGACCCTGGATGGCGCAGCCGGTTGCAAGACGCTTGCCGATAGATCCACGGAGGATCTCGAGATAGGTGGCACTTCCGAGACGCAATTCGTATTCGTGGTTTGCCTGGATCTCGGCGAGTTCAGCGACAATGGCGGGATCATTCACGTCCATGCGGCGGAGACGACCGAGGGACTTGCTGGCTTCCTCGTAGCGGTCTTGCTTGATCAGGAACCGAGGGGTTTCGGGGAGGATCAGCATGCCGACGACGAGGATGATAGCCCAGGCGAACTGCACGGCGACGGGGATGCGGTAGCAGCCGGTGTCATCACGGTCCTTGGTAGAGTTGTTGACAATGGCGGCGAGAAGGAGACCCACTGTGATGGCGAGTTGGTAGGTGCCGACGATTGTTCCACGGATCCATTTGGGCGCGGTCTCGGACTGGTAGAGGGGGATTGTTGCGGAGAGGAGACCGACACCTAGACCGGCGAAGAAGCGGCCGGCTACGAAGAGAGGGATGGAGGTTGCTGCGGTTTGGAGGATAACTCCGAAACAGAAGACGAAGCTCTCCATCACCATACCCATTCGACGACCAAATTTATCAGCGATAGGGGCGGCGCCTAGGGCACCGAAGAAAGTGCCTGCCGAGAGGAGAGAGACAATCATTGATGATTGTGCGGCGGTAACATCAGGGAGGTGATCCGTTTCGTTGATGAAGCCAGTCGAGAACATCTCTCGCCATTTCTTCATGGCGAGAATACCGCTGATGGTACCGGTGTCATATCTAGATGGTGTTAGACCTGTCTTGAATATAGAACCTGAGTTGTACATACCCAAAGAGAACACCACCGAATGCAACAAACAATCCAATGATGATAGCCGGGGCAGCAGAGCCCACGGCCTCAGTCGGCCTCTTCAAAGCGAAGCCCATTGCGAGTGATCACGAAGAATCAAGTCAACCCAAGTATGTATGTGTCGTGTGAGTATAGAGATGAACCAGAGGGTATAGATGACTCAGAGAAGACTGATATAGGAGAGAAAGGAGGAAGCAAGGTACACAAACAAAAGAAGAAACCCGGAGGTCAATCCCCCTCTATTTGTACTTCCCCAGTCTCTCAACCACATGGCCCCATGCTTCTCAAGCCGGGGAAATTTTCAACCAAACCTGAAAGCAGCGCGGGGGAACCGAACTTACCCTGGAAGGCGAAAATCCGAGTCCTGTCCAATCCCAGAACAGCATTCTCCCCATTGTCACGGACTTCTCGATGTTTTGGGCCTGGGGATAGAGTTTAGACCGAAACTGGAGAAACTAATGTGGTTAGGGGCTCAGGCCCCGGACTTCAACCGGGATGGTCATTGGTTCGACGCAAATTAGCTCGTCCCCGAACCGAGTTTGATTTTTCTTCCCTGGGCCTTGGCGTGCAGTTGTTGTGCTATGTGCAGTAGGATCGGCGAAACTACACGGAGATATAGAAGTACATGGAATTAGTATAGTATTGCTGTACATATCTACTGCATATGGTGCTATATTGTTACTGTTTGTTGTATATGCTATTATGTATTTGCGTGGCAACTTAGGGCTGACATGTCTTAGGAATATCCGTAAATAGCCTTTCCATACCACACGACAGGCCGAAAACAGCGGGGGGCCGGGTTAAGCCAATGCCGATCGGTATCGGCGTGCCTCCCGCATCGGGGGAGAGGCCATGTTTATTTGTCACATTTTGCTGCAATTCCTATGTCATTTTAATTTAGATATAGTTCTGGAGCGTGTTCAATTAGATTGAAAATGTAAAAGGTAGAAGGTCAGAGATTTCAATTTTCAAAGCGCATATTTTTCCCTTTTCCCCTCATCCCCAGACATAAATTTCCCCAGACCTCCCCCAGACGTGTATGGAGCAGGGGGCCCGAGGTATTGACGCCCAATAAGCTAAGAGTTGGCAGTTACGAAGCTGTTCACCGGAGCCAGAATGGGAAGGGGGCAAAGCATGGCCAGATTAATTTCCCCCAGAGTGTATGACCTTCGCGAGGATCTGCAAAAGCTAGAACTCGCCAGAATTGCCGGGGAAATTTAAACAAATGCCCAGCTGGCTAGTCCCGTGCCAGTGCGCGATTTTCCCAAGACGCGATTGGACAGAGGACCCGAGGCTATCCCGACGTTACACTCCCGGAGAATCGTCGGAGACACCTGCGGCCTACTAGCTAGATCGGTATTGGACTCGGGGATAACTATGCCGGCCAATGCCAATGCCGGTGGTTTTTAGCGAGGAGTGGCGCAGGTCGGGAGCTAAAGTAGCCTTAGCTCTAGGCCGTTCGGGTTTTGCCTAGGTCAATGCTAAGAACTGATCACATGTTCGATTTTAGACTATGTTGTACGGAGTACGCGAGTACGCCAATTAGGCAGGTTCCGATGAAATGCTTGTCTATTATTTTGATGCTCGCTGAAGAAGAAGAAAAAAAACTGGCCGGACTAGCTACCAGCGCCAGATCAGGATGAAATACACAGTCATCACTACTTGCGCCACAAATTTGAGGGAATGGTACAGATCCCGGACGATGAGAGAGACAGTTGAGTGGGAACGGGTAGCCGAGGCGGGGCGCCATGCAGCCTTGTCCTTTGAGGCAACGGCTCCGAAGTCCCCGTCTATACCCCGATATGCGTCTTCCGGGGATTTAGTGCCGGGGTAGCGGGTGGAGGCTGTCATGCCATTGCGGCTGGCTAAACCACCCGCCGATGAGAGTGTAGAGCTGGACGCACCGGAGGTGTGGTGGTGTGGGAGAGAGCGCGGCTCGGAAAGGGGGAGAATCGCACCGGAAGGGGATGGTTCTGGGGTGTAGAGAACGCGGTAGATGGAACGGAGGAGGAGGATGGAGACACTGATACACAGGATAATGAGGTAGTAGATGAAGATTCCCAGCTGGTCTGGGAGGATACAGAGGTGGTTTTGCACAGTGGGTGGTGATCCGTCTTGGATGGATTTGCCTGTCTTGGGGTCGATTGGATTCCACAGGCTGGTGAGCACGAACCCCGGGTGGCGGACTCCCATCGCCCAGGAAAAGCTTTTGGCGGTGATTTCATTGGGCGAGCCGTTGAATTCCCGATGGGACACTTCACAGTAGTCATGGTCGTCGCCGGAATACACCTGGACGACATTGGGTCCTGCCTTGGAAACCAATTCGGTGGAAATGGTCTGCGTGAGGACATTCTGGTACTGATAGCCTCCGGCAATTCTCAAAGAGTTAGGCTCGTCCTCTGTCAGTTCCTCGTCCGATGGAGACGGCGGGTAGTGTTCTCGGAGTGGACCACAGGGAGTGGCTGGCTCGCGGTAGAGCGGGACGTGTGTAAGAATAATAGTAGGAAAGCCGACGCCTGCTGGCTGAGGCTTTTGGTGGATGACGGGCTCGACAGCGTCGGCAATACGATGATCGAAGATAGTATGCTCCTCGGTCTTGTTCTGTAGCATTCGCAGCTCGTCCGTCTCCGCCTTGGCTTTGTGGATAGCCATCTTATCCAGAAAGTCATCTGCATCTTTCCAGATCGGGCGGAGAGAATGGTTCTCGCTGGCTGTTGGAGAGCTGCCCGTCAATGGATCGGGCTGGTCCATCGCGCTCAGCGAGGGACTGTCGACCGAAACGAAAGTATGATTCCCAATGACATCGACGCGGTTGGGGTTTCCAAAAAAGGACTCGAAGCGATCACGGACGGGTTCCTGGATGCCGTTACCGAACCCAAGATCATGGTTGCCAGGTAGACTAGCAATCATTCTGCGCCCTCGTCCATCGACAGGGGGCTTCGCAAATTTCTCCCACGGGTCCACAAAAATTTTAATAAATCGCCCGAACTCTTTCTTCCAAAAGGAGTCCCTATACTTCTTCCACCGCGGTTCGGGGCTGCTAGTTGTAGCCGTGGCCCATTCTCTGCCGCCGTCGAAAAGGTCGCCAAGAAACAGCACTGAGCCCGGCTCGAGGTGGTCTTGTATCAAGGAAAATGACCGTCGCATATATTGGTCGGTGTATTTGACCG